CTATCCCACACCTGGAGCTCTAGAACAGAACAGGGCCCTTCCGTCTCTCCTTCATTCCTTTTATCACACTAAGCTTGGGGATCTGGAGCACGAGGCACGCCTTCGATAGGTAGTAAGGACTTTTCAATGGATCTGGAGGAGATATCCAAGAGGGGGTTGGAATCTTTCCTTGCTAGTTTTGGCACACTTACCAGCAATGCCTGTATCACTGCAATCCAAAACATCGGGATTGCTAGCACCACCACCGGAACGCTGATTGGGTACCCGGTTCATCCCTAGCGAGCAGGAAGGTTTCAATGAACCCGCTTTAAAAAGGATATTGCTTCTTCGTGAATTCGGGGGTGAAAACGACTCGAGGGGACCGGGGTTGCTGGGGTGTCTGCAGTGATAGTCCTTCACAAAGAATCACTCGCAAGTGGCAAGGCCTCATTACCCAAAACTAAGTCCGTGTTCTTTCGAGGCAGAGGGGGGTGCGGATTTAGGAGCAAAATTGTCCATGACAAGTGTAGGAGGTGTCCGGCTTTTGATGCGATAAGTGATGTAGGAGATAGGGGAAGGATAGAAAGGAAGAATGGGGCAAGATTCAAGAGAGGCACAAACTTGGAAAATCGCACAGGGGATAACGTTTATGGCGGTGCACGCGTTTGGTAGGGGCCCTGTGAGCGCCGGTTATGGAATCATGGGAACTTATGATGTCGACACTAACTCACTGGTGGAAAGGTCGTCTTGCGCTGGGTTGATGTCTAGATTACCATCCCGAGTTTCGCTACCGCGTTAGCATACAACTGGAGAGGAAGGAGCCTTGGGAGATTACTTCATCGTACTCAATTCCCACTAGCAAAATGTGGTACAATACACCCAAGGGCCGCCTCTGATTGCCGGAACGCAGAAGCTTCCCCGGACTATTATCTGCAGAGTCCCTCCCGCTGGGCCATGGCACAGGAAGACTGCGAGGTTTGCTGGTACGGTTTTCCGACCATCGACGACATATACCGATCGTGTGGGGGCATGTGGGCTTCAGTGAAAGTAGTTCTAAAGGTAGCAGAGTGGCTCGCTATTTGCCCACTCTTTCAAGGAGAGCTTTCGGCCGGAGGGAATTGCATAGGTTTAGAGGCAAAGCTATCGGTGCTTATTCGTGATTGGGTTTGCCGGCATAGGATCCTCTACGGGAACCGTGCTCCCTGCCGTTTGATAACCTTGACCCCTCAATCTTCATCGCAACAGTTATGTATGGTATGAAAGATAGCGGTGCTGCGCTCCCTGCAAGGTCAGTTGACCATTCTTATCGCTTAAGAAACTGGAATTCAGCTGCTGTAGGTTTCCAATGTCAGCTGTCGCTGCACTGAGCCTCTAACTACCGTGCCGCTTATACACGTACTGTGGACCACTTGTTATATGAAGAGAGCTCTCATTTTCGGAGCGTGGTTGAACCAATGGGACCTCTGTTGGCACCGTGCCGTACAGTGCATGCTAGTGCTACTGCGCCTGATTGTGCATCCCTGCCCTCACCAAAAAGACGGCTTAATCGGGTGTTTGAGTGCCAGAACTCGGACCCCAATATGCAGCTGGCTACTGCATCGCGAGAAATTCCTTGCAGTATGGTTTGTCGGGATTCGTTTGTGGTGCATATCTTCCCTATGCTGGCACAGACTGCTAGAGTATACCCTCCGGGAGCTCGTCGGTGCGATGATGGGGTACTTGTTGAGTACTTGTAGTGGTCCTCGTACCACATCACCGATAGAATACAGTATTCGCGACCAACCTAGGATAAACCCCTAACCGTCGCCACCACCAATCCCGTAGCTGCCCGATCCCGAACCTCGAATCCCACTCAAGTCGGTCAGGTACGTGGACTGCCAAGAGCGATGCCCCATGAGCCGCTCACCCGCACCACCCGATGTGCGGAGTAGCCCATTAGGAAGGTCGTACAGAACCTACCCTGCGTGCTTCTGTACAAGTATGCTTACATTGCAATGTTTTTCCCTTTTTCCTGTGCATGGCGCGTTCCCAGCAGCTTGTGGTGTATAGTAGCATCATGCTCCTCTCTCAGTTGCAGCATCACCTCTGTAGGGTGGATGTGAATTAGTCTTTATTACAATATTCTTGTGATACCCCGCTTTTCACCTTCCTTGCCAAAGAGGGCGAATACGGGCAATTCACCGAACCAACTCCTGGAGCCTTATAGGATTATGGGAAGGAACTAATCGTGGGACTAGGAGGTAAATCATCAACCGAATTCTCTGGCAAGTGTCGCTGGTATTGCGCTGCCTCAGGCTGCCACGAAAGCTTTTCCGGTCAATTGTGAGGGCGGTCACCCTCTGGAGGGCAGCATGTCTGGGCTGGACCTCCTAACACGAGTGCCAAAGTTTGGTGGGTCTGCTCCTGGTGAGGTTGATTCGAGCTAGAGGGACCGTGAAGTTGGGGCGAATGGGCAGGGTTGGGATTCGTTTCCTTTCTTGGTGTTTTGGGCTTTATGTCGTACCGGTAACCTAGCGGTTATATACCGGTACTGGAGTACGAGTACTCGTACAATGGCAGTGCCGTGGTATATCGGGGATTTAGCAAAAAAGGCAGGGGTGCAGTAATAGCCGGCTGTCGGGAGCTCAACTAGCTCTGCGGCGTTTTGGTGCCCGTGTTGGTCGGTGGGTGTGGTTGCGGTCGCTTATTATGGGTTCAATAGGGGGATGGTCGGACAAGGGGTGGGTGAGATCGTTCATTGGCAACAATGTCAAGAGGTCCGCCTGTAGAGGAGGTGGTGCTGTAATATATCGCAGCGTTCTTTTTTGGACATCGACCAGGTTCCCAGCATCGATTATGTTAAGCCAAGCCATGCGATAAATTGATTTGCCTAGGCCCCGCTGGACATCGAAGCGGTGTTGTCTGAGATGCTTTGTTTGCTTTCTTGTTTTGCTCGTTTGTTGGTGGGATGGTGTTCCTCGGAACCGCTTGAGAAATCGATTGATCGATTTGTAGAGCAAGTACCTGTATTTGCTAAAAGTAAAAGTGGGTAGTCAGTTGCCTTAGGAATATTGGTCTAATGGTTTGTTGGCTCCCCTGGTTCACCTCCTTCCTTTCTGCACTGGTGCCGGGCCTGTCTGTGCGTGGCCAAGCGCTGGGGGAGGTGATGTGTGTTTGGAATGGTTTGGGAGATGAAGGTCTGGATTATGATGAAATTACAAGATATTCCTGATGGTGCTGCTCTGGCAATACCTTGGGGGAAAATTCGTGTTTGCGCAGTAGTGGGCGATTTTTTCCCGTGCCGATAGAGTGCGGTATGATACCCGAGTAGTCGATGGGCATTGGGTGTGGTGCTTGTACCGTGCAGTAACTGTGGGGAGGAGGCATCATAGCTTGTGGCGGTATTCCCGGTGTGGGGATAGCGTGTCTGTTTGTTTATACACGCACGGTGCTGGTATGATGCGGCGGTATGATACTTGGACTCTACCCATGCCATAAATTACGGAGGGAAGTGTGCGGACAACTCGCAGCCAATTGCAGATCTCGTACCGGTCCCCTAAAATTCAATTCGTTTTCGAGGAAAAGCCATCCCACAAGGATCTGTACGAGTACTCGAGTACGATTGCTGCAAAGTATTGGGTGTTACGGTAACGGTCATGTTGATATTGCAGGTGGGGAGGTGGTTCTCGGGGAATATCATACAAGTGCACGCTCTGCTATATACCGGTATCCGAGTAGTGTCGGTAATACCGGCACCGTCTGGTGTCCGAGTGCTGCAAACAGCCAGGCGAAATGCATAAGCTGGATCGCCACTCGAGTCGGATCTAGGAGGATCGCAACCTGGTAAAGTTAATAGCGTACCGGTATTGGAAGTATTTTAATCATAAAACGCCACCGCTGCCATTCCCGCACCTCTCACGCCCCACGCCCCACGCCCTCGCATCTCCCATTTCCATAGCAGCAAGGATAGATTACCGAGAAAGAACTTGCCGGTTACCCTAACCAACAGCACGATTGGCTGCACGGACTGGTGAATGTCAAGAATTGACCTGTCAGGTCTGTCTTCTCCGTGTGTCTCGAAATGATCATAATTTCCAGATACACGTGTGAATTGCGCCGAAAGCCCTGGTTCCACCCAATCGGGTTTCTCCGTTATCGATGATAAATCGGAGCAGCCAAAGAGTAGCGGCGCTGTACTGCACCGGCCGTCGGATGTCATGTCATTATAAATTGTACCGTACTAGTACTTGTAGCTTACTGTGCTCGAGTTCGTGCTCGGGTGATCGGGGTAGGAAGATGGCCTCACCGAAATTCCTCCCATTTTTCTCCCTTAAGCGTGAGGGTACTGATGATGGGCTTGCATGGTTCTGGGGACGTCTTCGTTTGCGCCCCCTGGTTTCGCATGTATCCCCCCGGGAATAAGGGTACTGGTAGGGCGTTTTGGACTGTGGGGATGGGAGGGAAGGGGGAGCGTGGATCGGTGGGAAGGAGTTGGGATGTGGCGAACATTCAAGTCTGAAAACATCTGGAGTTGTGGGAATACCAACAAGGGTTGGCCTTACGGTATGACGGGTCTGTACATTACAGATTTGGGGGATGGGGAACTCCGTGGGAAAAGTAACAGATGAATTACCACTCGTATGGGGTTCGGTATTATGCATATATCCTACAGTGGACGGCCATCATTGAATGATTACTGTACGGTACAGCCGACACCTGCTTCCCTGCGTACGGTGGACTTCCTTTATGGGAAGGTTGCTTGCGAATTACCTATCTGCGATACTCGTAGTTTTTCTGGCGTTTGTGAACAGGACTGGTATTGCATACCACAAAAAAAAAAACCTTGAGGCTCCGGCCGGTTTCTTGCTCATATGCAATGGCAGCCGTGTTCACAAATGTTAGAAAATTACTCGTACTGCTGTACCCCGCCTCGCCCCTATGCAAAACATTAGAGGGGAGAAATAACTACCACACCCTTTCTTCTCTCCATCCCTCCTCCCTCACCATGACCACCCAGCCCAACCACAAACTTCAACCTAAAGATGGCCGAGACTCAGCCTGACACACCCCAGATCATTGAAGCTGATGATCCTGGGTCGGGCAGTGATAGTGAATCAGCTTACGGATCTGGAGCGTGAGCCCCTAGAATTTTTGCTTTAGCATTTGTTTGCTTGGAGATTAACTTTGCCCGGGTTGACAGGCCGAGTGACACCACTTCTCTCGCATCCGAGGTGAGGGCATATGTATATGAGAATGGCCGCCGGTAGGTTCTCTTCCCTGAACCGGACCGGACTGGAGTCTAACCTGTATTCTAGATACCATGCGTACAGCCAAGGTCACTATTGGGCTCCCAACGATAGCAAGCAAAATGAACAATTGGATATCTTGTTTGTCCATCTTTTTCGACCCTTTTCCCCCCGGAATGCAACGGCCAGCTGACGCTCACTAGCCACCACATTTATTCGCTCGTCCTGGACGGAAAACTCCATCTCGCCCCTATCGGAGACCATCCACAAAAAATCCTGGATCTCGGAACCGGAACTGGAATTTGGGCGATTGATATGGCGGACACTTATGCCAGCGCCCAAATAATTGGAAACGATTTATCTCCCATTCAACCAAACTGGTGGCTCCCCTAAATGGCCTTAAATACCCCCCAATCTCTTGGTGCAGCTCGCTAACTTCGAATGCGTTACTTTGTGAAGGGTTCCCACGAATTGCCAATTTGAGGTGGATGATTTCACAAAGCCCTGGACATACTCCCGCGATGCATTCGACTTTATCCACGCTCGTGGGATTTATGGCTCAGTGGGGTCATGGCCGATCCTTCTTCGCGAAGCTTACTCCAGGATCAAGCCGGGTGGATGGTTCGAGTCTGTCGAGACTACAGTTGCATATTACCATGACAATGGTCCCCGCGGCGAGGGGCAGTTAATTCCCAAGGATAACCCAATTTATAAGTGGTGTCGATTTGGCATTGAGGCTGCAGATAGGGCGGGAAAATCCCTTGATGTTGCCGGGAATGTTGATGGCTGGTTGAAGGATGTTGGCTTCATAAATGTCACTCAGAAGGAGTATAAGGTTCCAACTGGGACTTGGCCGAGAGATGCCCACATGAAGGAGATCGGGAAGTACAATCTGTTGAATATGCTGGAGGCAATGGAGGGGTTTACTGTTGCGCTCTTCACTCGCGTTCTTGGGGTTTGTCCCCGTCCGGCTTGTTTTTGGAGTGTTGGCACTGATGAGGGTTTAGTGGAGTATGGTGGAAATTCAGGTGTTCCTCGCCCAAGTGAGGGCTGAACTCACCAACAAGAAAAATAACTTTTACTTCAAGATGTTTGCTCTACTCACTTCTCTTTCCTGGTGTATATATATTCGCTGACTTGGCTAAATAGGTACGTTGCATATGGTCAAAAGCCTGAAGTCACAGGGCAGGAGTAGGGGGATTGGTTTTGCTAGCGTGCTTTGGATGGGGACTTTGTGCCTCTTTCGTTTGTGGACTCAGGTTTTTGGCAGCCTAGACTAAAATGGTGCTGTGCTGGCTCCGCTGTTAGAATAGTGAATTATGTGCTACGGCTGCTATTAAATCACAGGTCATCACCCGAATAGGGGTGGTGTAATCGTAGGCTGTAGGGAAAATGTGGGATGCGAAACACCATACCATATGATACGAAAACTCCCGGAATCCCGAGATTATGTTACTTAATGTCCTCGGGATTGATGGCACTGGCACTCCCAACCATAGATCCCGAATCACCCCAATCAGATACTTGCATACCATACCAACCTTATGCCAACGAAGCCTGGGCAATACCGGGGGAACTAAACCCTCCTCACTCGGGAAAGCCGGTACGGGGCGCGTAACGTGGCTGTGGATCGAATATTCGACCACTAATCCACCCAGAAACCAATAATTGACGCACTGCTTGGGCGCCCCTTCCAACTTACTTCGGCTGCGGCACATAGTCCTCACGCCTTTCTGCAAGCACATGCCCCCTTCGCTGGGGGAGTGGAACGAAGCTTTGCTACGCACCTAAGAGGTATTCGAACACTCGGTATATCCCTTCCTACCCCCACCCTTTCATTTCTTCCCATCTATTTCTTGTTCCCATCGCTTTATCTTTCTCACTTTCTCGGGGTCCGCGGAAAATGCGCAAGGTACTGTAAAATGAGGGGATGTAACGAATTAGGATGTTCTATCGAACCGGAGTGCGGTACCGCCCGGTGCGGTCCCGTGTTTGCTACAACTGCTCACGTTTGGTGCCGGGAGTGTATTGTACTGTACGTTGTTTTTGCGGTTGGTTGGCTGGCGGGAAGGGGACCCGTGGGGTGTCTTGGGTCTAGGATAAGTTAGTTGGTTGGGAACCTCCCACTGGGATTGGGTGCGCGGGGGTTTAATGTATTGATGCGGCGGGGAGAATGAGAAGTACTTGTATAATACTTTTTAGATGTATCGTATCGTATCATGCCATAAGAAACTTTCATAACGGACTGGTCCGGACTGGCCCTTGCGGCCGACTTGGGCTTTTTGATTGGTGGAGGACTCACGGGAGGGGTGTCTGGTCACATAAGCAAGCGTGCTTTGGGCTCCCCCCCTCCCTCCTTCGCCGATCGGAGAATTGGGGGCTGCTGCGGTGCCGGTCCGGGCCAGGTCCTTCCTTATGCCTTTTTTTTTCTTTTTTCCCACCGTGATTTGTATTGATGGTGTTCGGAGATAGTAGGTAGTAAGTATATTTGAGTGAATGGTAGGCTTGGAGGTCTGACATTAGTAGTATTGGATGACTCTCGGCACTAGCAGACTCTTTGAACGTTGTTGTCATTGTTCGTCCACGCGAGGGATAGGCTAGTCAGCAAGTGCCAAGTTCTAACCGATCAGAGTTATAAATGCATACTCGAGTAGCGTAGCATTCGATATATGTGAACGTGGATATATGTTATATAACGTCACGTGGGTGCAGTACTGTACGAAAAATCAGCTCTCCAAGCAAACCGACTCCCCCACTCCGGCGAAAGTGCATTCACGACCGCCATTCGGGATTTCACCATTCTTCTCATTATTTCTTCACGGTCTCCCAGTGTGGCTGAGGTTTCTGTTTCATTTTATCGTATTTTTTCCCCCCTTGTCCGGGGCGTCATAGTGCTGTGGCTTGAACCGGGGTTCAGGTATCGTGTCGTATTATATTACCATCCAATATATGCTGTAGGAGTTGGGGTCAAAATTGTATGCGCGGTCTTTTCGATAGACTTGACTTGAACGCCGTGACCGATTCCTGGCGTTGTGGCGTATCTATGTATATGATTCCGAGGCTCATCCTGATTCGCAGGGTAGGTTATTTAGTAAACCATCCGGGCTGGAATCATTTTTTTTTCCTTTGACATTCGGGATCATAACGCGTGGCCGTTGTTTGCATGTGATGCTTTTTTTTTCTTTTTTTCTGGAATGGTACAAGGTGGTGTATGTGGTAAACTCTCTAGATTTTGCTTTCGTTCGTGAGAGCTCTCGATATGTGTAGAGTCTGGTCTTGAGGCGCGTTGGCTAAAAGGGCTAGTAGAGGTATGATATACATACTTGGCAGGAACTTGGGTAATTGTATTGGGAGGTTAGAACTGGTGGGCGGGGGACTCGGTTCGTTAGGGAATGCGTTGCATGCGGGAAACGGGATCGCTGGTGTGTGTGCTTATGTATCGCTGAGGGTTTCAGGCCTAGGGCGGGGGCTTGGTTAAATATTGGAAGCCTAGGGTATAGTAACGCTAATGCTTTGGGATCCCAGTGAAAATAAGCTGGTTTGGATTGCCGGGGGTAGAGATTGATACTGATGCTGTGAACACGGTACAAGCCTGGGGATGCGAATCGGAGCTGGTATTCTATGAGTGGCATTCGAGGGTGAAGCCTAAAAAATAATAATAGGGGGATAGCTTTCTCGCTGATTCTGTGAACTTGATGGCGTAGGACGCTTGGCTTACCAGAACATGGGGGGGGGGTCCCGTCAAACTTTGGTTTCATTGCGTCCTTCGAAGTGGTGGAAATCTTGGAATTGGAAGCTTTATCCGATTACACTCTCATGAACGGACTGGCGTTGATTGCGGATGATCTGTGTTGGCATCACGAGGTTCACCTTGCGGAACGTGGCGAGGGATGAAGTTTCCATGCAGCCGGCGGATTTTGGGTTGGGAGCCTAGGGATAGTTGGAAATAGATCTAGGGATGATACACAGCTTTGGTAACTTATGGAGGACTTTATGCCGGAGGACGGAGACAAGTTGAATTTACGGTGCGGTATCCTTGTTCTTGATGGAGGTGGTGGACACGCACAGTTTGTCAATGGGATCGGAGGTGGAGAGAAGTGTGTTGTTTCTCTACGAAAGATGGCAGGCTATCTAATACATAGGTGGAAGCCGCCATATGAGTGTACGGTAAACCCCTTACACTCATCTGTGTACTCACAGCACTATACACATGTATACCCCCACTCATACATTTCCCGTAAATGTCTCCACACACACCTGTGTTCTTCTGCTCTGCCATATCTGTACTCTCAACATAACCACAAAATACTACGGGGATTATAATACCATCGATTCTCAATGCCGGGAGTGGCTTATGTGTTGGGGACCTAAATTGGGATTTCTCTCCTTTTCCCTGAGGACCATGTGTGAATGCTCCCCCATCCCCTCTGGCGTTTTCCTCTGCAGCCGAGCACCCGATTTGTGGGTTTCTGTTATAACCGAGGGTTTAGAGGGGTGCTATTTCTCTGGGGTTGAGAAAAGCGGGCGTGGTGTGGCTTGGGATTTCCACGCTATTCGCGGTTTTTGGTTGTTTTTCTGATTTTAAATACTCTCTGGGGATTTATTGTCACCTTATTTTATCTACGATCCCGTTCTTCTGATTTCCCCACACCTGAGGAGTAGACATGAGGTTTGTTAGGTGCAAGGGAAAAAGTGTGGGGAGCAAGTATCTCTGACACCCGAAGAAAGTGACTCAGAGTCTAGCCGTCAACTAAGGTGTGGATTACTTGTTTCCACTTTGGAAACTATTTAGTGAACCTCGTGTTTAGACGCTACTACTAAGTTAGCTAGGTATGAGTTAGGGAGTGAGATTGGGGGTTGTGGATACCCTTCGCCTTGCACGTTGAGGGAAATTAATAAGGCAAGAAGTATTTTATCCTATAAATGATTGTAGTTGTCAGTGATTAATCTACATTTTAAGAATAGGTGGTGCGGTAAGCGATTGCATAGCATCCGCACTGCTCTTAACGCCCTAAACCAATTAGAACAGTTTTGATGTCTCCTCACGTCTTCGGGGCCTGAACTAGCAGAAGATACCTTTACGTATTTCGCCCCACTGGCGGATACATGCGGGCATCTTGAGACATGCTGAGGTGCCGTCGCATCTGTAGATATCGGGTGCCCATCGACGAGACGCCGGTAATGACAGACCACACGGCATAGGCCGAATCCTTCAGGTGAAACCGGAGGTCCAGGAAGTCCGCCGCCCCTATCGCCTCAGTCAGTCTCACCTTGACCTGGCCTGGCCGGACTATATCATGTATCCCCAAGCTCTGCCAGTTTCGCACATTGAAGTGGAGTGCGGGTGAAGGGGCCGCCCGATGCCCCGACCTTCTTCTTCACAATTTTATCGAATGTAGCCAGGCTCAAATCCCAATATGGTTCTCTGCGGTTGCACCCATCCAAGTTCTATTTCAGGACAGCCCACATTGAGCTTGGTGAAGATGATGTATACTACGAGATTTGTGCTACCACTATTGATATTTGGTAGTCTTGGCCTGTGTTCCCGCACTGAATCGCGCTGTTGAATCTTTTTTTTCGCCGTTATGGGGATACGCATCGGAACAGGTCGGAATCGTAAAAACGTTCGCATGGGGGGGCATGACGGGAAGTGAGATATGGTACGCGGCTCTGACAGTGGGGTGGGGGGACTCACGCTTAGATGGCTGAGTGCTGTGCTCCGTTTCGTGATGCTGTTGGCGTAGGAGGCTGGGGAGCGAAATGTGTGTGGGGCTACAGTAAGTACGTACAGTACAGGTAATTGATGCACTGGGCTAAAACAAATGTGGATGACTACTGTGAAGCTTCAGCCACTGTAAGCGTTGGGTTCGGTAAAATACGCCATCTCTCTATCCGTCATACTCGGGTATTTAATTTATGATAGTTTCAGGTTGTTGCTATTCTTTTCTCGGATTTTGCCAGCCATGTCAAAACTAACCACCGCCCGTACCGGTAGCGCATAGCATCGAAACTGGCCTTGAAAATGATTCCAGTATCGTACATGCAAGTTGTCCTTTTTTCTTTTTTTTTTTCCGCAGGCACGGTTTTGAAGGTTTCACTGCAAAAACGGCCGAGGGTGAGTCCCCCCTATTGCGGTGGTTAGGGTGAGCAATAGCTGAGCCACAGAAATGGTATCGGATTACGGTACTCAAATGGACCTCAATCTCTCACTGGTTCAGAGGATACCGGTGTAGTACATTAGTATGACTGATCCACGCTGAGATGTGGCATGGTCGTTGTGTTTTGGTGATCTCATAGAACAGCTATTCTTCTCCCAGATTTTAGTTACCGTATAAAGA